AGAGCGCTGCACTAGTATCGCAGAGGTCAGTGGTTCGAATCCCGTACAGGCCTGAAATTTTTTTTCAGGTCTGATTTTCACTATTGCTCAAATAGTGCTTTACTGCGAAGGATCGTTCTCATATACGTTTATTAACTCTACCAACCTCCCCAACCTTATCAGCCTCATCAACTCTACCAAGATCACCAACCTTATCAGCCTCATCAACTCTACCAGCCTCACCAACCTTACCAACCTCATCAACTCTACCAACCTCACCAACCTTATCAGCCTCATCAACTCTACCAACCTCACCAACGTTATCAACCTCATCAACTCTACCAATATCACCAACCTTATCAGCCTCATCAACTCTACCAACCTCACCAACCTTACCAACCTCATCTACTCTATCAACCTCACCAACCTTATCAACCTCATTAACTTTACCCACCCCATCAATTCTACCAACCCCACCAGACTTATCAACCTCATCAGCTCTACCAGACTCACCAACCTTATAAACTTTACTAGCTCTACCAACCTCACCAGCCTTATCAACCTCATCAACTCTACCAACATCAACAACCTTATCCGCCTCATCAACTCTACCAACCTCACCAATCTTACCGACCTCATCAACTCTACCAACCTCACCAATCTTTTCAACCTTATTAACTCTACCAACCTCATCATTTCTACCAACCTCACCAGACTTATCAACCTCATCAGCTCTACCAACCTCACCAACCTTGCAAACCTCATCAACTCTATCAATCTCACCGACCTTATCAACTTTTTTAACTCTACCAACCTCACCAGCCTTATCAACCTCATCAACTCTACCAACATCAGCAACCTTATCAGCCTCATCAACTCTACCAAACTCACCAACCTTACCGACCTCGTCAACTCTACCAACCTCACCAGACTTATCAACCTCATCAACTCTACCAACCTCACAAACCTTATCAACCTCATCAACTCTACCAACCTCACCAGAATTTTCAACCTCGTCAACTTTACCAACCTCACCAACCTTATCAGCCTCATCAACTCTACCAACCTCGTCAACCTTATCAACCTCATCAACTCTACCAACATCACCAACCTTATCAGCCTCATCTGAATGGATCTTAACTCAACACGAAACAATTTAGAAGATGCAGACGCAGAGTTACAGAAATCGTTGACCGCTCAGAACGAAAGTTTTACCACAAGGGTCAGTATCAATTCTTTATTTGATATCTATGAAGAAACTGTTTAATTTATGTATGTGGGCAATTACCGAGCCCAGAAATCAAATTGACGTGTTGCGTGCAATAGGGCCTTGATTTTATCACCCTACTAGATGTTGGTTGAAAAAATGAAAACAAACACACATACATATAAACAGAAGTGCTATGTCTTAAGATCTTGAATCGAAAATCGTGGATACGTCACCATGAAAAATGCAGTTTTGTTTTTACTGTAACCCCTACTCTAATATTTCAGATAGATAATTTGGACAAAACAGCAGACCAGCTATCATCAAGCCTGGCCACAACACAAAGCAACCTGAAAAAGCTGAATGATACACAGATCAACAATACACTGGAGGTAGTTCAGGTTAAATGTACTAGTGTTTTATAGAAGATCTTAAAAAGCCGAATATACGACCGCCACGCTAGTTGACAAGACGTTGGCTAAAGTGTTTAAGAGGAAAGTTTTGGCTCTGATTGCCTCTTCCCCCGGAAATACATTCTCTATCACAGGTTGTGGATATGGTTGATCAAAAAGTACTAGAACATTCCCCCATCTATAGGCCAAGCAATTTTCAAGATTTTTTAATGCGAAGATAATAGCACTGATTTGCAGTTATACAAGACAATCCTTGACGGTACAGTCATAATTTTAGAGGGGAGCAGTGCTTTTATTTTGATCAAATTTTGAAAATACATTTCGCAATTAAGAATCTAAGAAATAAATGAATCTAAGAAATAAACTGTAATTTAGCTTCCTAAACAAATTCCAAATCGAGAAGTATGGGAACCATTAGTTTTAATGAAACTGCTTGATTAAAATTACTTATTGGACATTCTCTATAGATTCAAAGTCACCTGTTGTCCATGGAAGCACGTTTGAATTCCACCGACGAAGATCTAAAATCTTCCATTGGCAACTTACAAAACAAAGTTGAAGAACTCAATACAAGTTTTGCAGGCAAGGTGAGGAACGTAGAGAATGGAAAATGGAAAATGGAAAAATATTAATAAAGTAGCTTATGTTAAGAAACTAAATTGAATAAATATCACCTCGAATGCCTGGATCTAAAATAGCGTATGCACTAACCAAAAAAAAATCTCAAATCTTGGTTTCATCATTATCATTAGTTCAACAGCTTTAGCCAATCCATTACTGCAGTCCACGCGCAGTCTAATGAAACAAAAGAAAGCTTCAACAGTTTCAGGATCAACACTGAAAATTCTATTACATCGGTAAGCTTACTTTTATTTACGTACTTTTATAATTTGTGCCAATGCATCAGGTTCTAGTTGTAGATGATGGTGGTAGCGATGATAAAAGTGTGATGAATTGAAGAAACTGACAATGCGAAATCATAAAAGATATCAGGAAGAGTACTTGAGGTAGAAATGATGGTAGCTGCTTTTATAGTGGAAAAGTTATTGATCTCTTGTTATCGATGAAGAAAGCGTAGATAACATGGACTAAATAACGATTTGTTAGAAAAAAGGAGTCTAAAGTTTTCTTGGGTTTCTCATACTTTCTCGTTAACTTAATTTCAAGCAAATTAAAGGAAGGGTGGCGTTATGTATTCAATAAGCGTAAGACCCTGAAATAATTTAATTATGAATCATATATGGCATGGGCCCTAATTAATACAGTATTAATTTGTGCAAATGGACGTCAAACATCCTAGTTTGAGAATACTTCATAACAGATGGTGGCAAAGGAAAAACCTGAATTAGAAATTTAAATCTGTTCATATTAAATTGAGCTTTCACCGTAGGTGAATAACGGCCTCAGTAACTTAGAGAAAACAGTGAACTCAACGAAAGACGAGTTATCGTCAGGGATAGCAAGTACAGACCTTATGGTAAGAGAAAGTGATATACTTTGCAATTTAAAGATACAAAGAAATGATTAATTTCATAAGCCGACATTCAGTCAGCTACCTTTAAAACATGATTAGTTGTATATAATTTTGGAGACAATGAGTAATTCCTATGTAAGCAGTTTTTGAGAGGGCGATGAGAGTACTCCAAAATCACTTGAGCTTGATGTAACCATTAGCTCGATTCATGTACTTGAACGAACAATAATTAGACAACTAAAACGAACCACGATAGTCAGTTTACGGGCTAAAGACTAACCCTAAGGGATATAGAAATACCGTTTATATTTGCGTCCCAGTGAATCGAATATTTTTTGGAACAATTTTTTTTATGTAAAGATGAAACAATTTTTAGTGTAATAGAAAAAATCCGAGCCCCAGATGGGACTTGAACCCACGACCCTCCGTGATCTAGTCGGATGCTCTAACCACTGAGCTACTGGAGACTCTATGGTGAGCAAGGGTCAATTTCTGGGCCTCGACTGGAACCGCATCGCGCGGCTACACAGCCAAGTATTGGTAAGCACATGTGAAAACTCACTAACAGCATCACCCTGTCACATTAAGGCATATCAAGATGCGGCCAACCAACCTCCAAAGTGAGCATGTAAAGATGAAACAATTTTTAGTGTAATAGAAAAATTTTTTTTATATTGTTTTAACCTCTACTGAGTCCTAATTCAGTCAACCATACTCGTACAGTGCCGTGTAATCCATAAAATGCCGCCAAACTCCCACAACTCATTATTGAAATTTGGAAGATTGTATTCTCATTGCGCTTATAACCTGATTCGTTATGTTCAACAGCTCAACAGCACCACTGAAAGACTTGATCAAGAAGACGTCAGCATAATATCACTAATTAAAGACATCAACGTAACATTGTCTGTTAAGGTATTAGAAATTGTCAAAGTAATTTGTTTTCATGAAAGAGTCTTTTGTGTGTGGCAGCAACTCTTGCTGCAACTTTTTGATTGGTTTTCCTGTTGTTAATTCTATTTCTTCTGTTTTTTTGCATTTTTTTAATTTTTTCTTCTTGTTTCAGTTTTTTTCTTGCTTGTTTTGGATTTTTTGTTTGCTTGATCATATGTTTTTTATTCACCTCTGGAATCTTCCATTCTACTTTTGACATTCATTCTCGAACTTAGAAAGAAAACGGTAAAATAGAAAAGGGAAACAAACACTCGCGCACTTTGCAAGAAATGATGAGAAATACACAATGACAACATGACTCCAGAAGTCTATACTGTTATCCATACAGCAATACACATCCAGGAGTTGAAGAAGCTGAAAAAGTACGGACCGAATTAATGATGTTATCTTCCAGGTAGAGAATGTTACTAAGCTTCAAGGCCCCGTCGGACCACGCGGTTTTAATGGTTCTCAGGGACCGGTTGGACCAGCCGGACCTCAAGGGCTCAATGGAACACAGGGTCCCCAGGGGGTGATAGGTCCACAAGGTTTTAATGGATCACAAGGTTCACCGGGATCAGATGGACTCCAAGGAGCCCCAGGCCCCCCCGGAGCAGGAAACTTTTCGCAGTGTGAGTTCATGACAAGCACAGAAACAGGATCCCAGACTGCTTTCCAAAGCAACACTCTTCCAGCTTCAACGAAAGTCATCATAACTGAACCAAGTGTAAGTAAATAGGGCACGACAATGAAAAAAGAATAGTTAAAAAATCTCATTACCTATATTTCAAAAACGTGATATTGAATTTAATTCGATTGTAACATCCAATATTACTGTGAGTAAGACAGGAAGAGCAACAGAAACACAATGGGTAGAATTGTAGATAGATGCAAAGTTTCAATAATTTTAGTAGCAGAAGCTGAAATCTTATCAAACAATAGTGCTTTTTAAACGAGAATACGTAATATCCAGGAAGAAACTCGCAACAGGCACCATGTGCTCACCCTTCCCAGCATTCTATTTTATACGCTATACCTCAAGTGCAAATAAAGAGAAGTATGCTCACAGGTAGCCCAAGCTCACTACTAGAAAAGCGGACGTGACCCTTACAGTGTTGCGCAACGTTTTATACTTATAAAGGTTTGTATCGGATGTTATCGGTTTGCCTTAAAAGAGAGAAAAAAATGTCTTGTTTTGAAATAAAATGGACTTACCTTATTGCCTTGTTGTTTTCTTTGTTGATTCCTAGCGTCTCAGGCCATTTTGAAACGTTTTCGGCGAGTTAGCGCTATGTTGGTGTTCAACTGCTAAAAGAAAGACAAGGCCGGAAACCTATTTTAGAAGTGTCCGTCGCCCGAAGCGAATAATTCCGCCAAAAAGTTACCACCAGTCTCGATTCCTCCAGAAAATCAAAGCAGAGATGTTGATTTTCCATTTCCATTCACTCGATTCTCAATTTCTCCCACAGATCTTTCACTAGCGATGCTTTTATCTCCATATCGATCCGCTTTCCAATTTCGAATTTGTCTCGTTGAAACAGTTGTGGGCTCGCTCGCCGATCGCACAGTATGTCGGCTAACAAAAATAAGCCGGCGAGGGTAGCCAGCGGCCTGCAGTCGACAAACAAACCAGTTAGCTCTTCGGCTTTGGAGAGGAAGAGCTTGTTTGTAAAGGGGCTGACTACTCCGTTTCTCTCAAGTTTTCTCTTTTTGCATTGCCGAACCGAATTTTGCAGTTTTTTGCAATTGGTGCAAGAATCACCTAAACTGGAGATTATTAAACATTTAGCAGAAAATGCTCTCCTTTCCGAATTGTTTGCTGAACTTGTCAAATCAGCGGAGTAATTGCCACTTTCATGGGGAAGCATAGTATGTAGTAAAGGCTGATAGTTTCTAAAGAAACTGTTTGGGGCTGCGTCGGTGGGGGCAACGAAATAATTTGAACATATCAACAAAGTTGAAATGGTAAATTGGCCACCGTTACGATTATAAAAGCTGACGTTTC